TGGATGGAAATGCCTTTTATTTCAACAGAACTAAATCTTTAAAGGATTGAAAATGCGCTAGTGACAATGGCAATTTAATTTCCCAACCAAGACCAGCACAAATCATACTTGGTGTGCTGATGAATATTACAGCACCTTCAACATTATAGCAAAGAAATATACCATGCGAACAAAATATTCTATATATTTTTTGTTCCCATTTGTTCCTCAAAAATAAATAATTTTATTTGACAAATGTCTGCCATTTTAACCTTTTTTCAAATTTATAAAGTGCAATTAGGTCTTGGTTCACAGACAATTGTTTGCTAGCACATCAACAAAACATGATTTGTGTTATATTTTTAAATGCAGTCACATGTTTTCTCTAGTAAAAGCACATTTGCTTATAGCAAGTTTCAGAAGTATTGGGGCAGCAAATTTCCAAACTGGCTAGCGAATTAGCTAACTGCTTTGGTTTTGACTGAACGGTTGGCTTTCGAATCTCGCTGGTGCCGTCCTGTGGTCACGCACACTCTGGTGAATCTATATAACAATAGTCATATTTTAGTTTGATGGCGATTTCGCTTTCAAATATGCCGGGGAAAGTGTTCTATTTTTTGTGTGTAATGAGGTGGTCGTATACAAGGGATTGTCCACGCAAAAACGATGAATGAAGTCGAATTTTATGAGCATTTGGTTTAATTTACCCCAACAAATCGTTTGGATGGGAAAATTTATTTTCTCCCTGATTTGTAGGCAACTTTTTCTCAACTTGTCTCATTATTTAGTTTCAATCAGTGTTCAAGATGGCCTCCATATAGTAAATATCGGTGGATTAATCACATTTATGATATTACCACTTGTACGCCAGCTTTGCAAAGCAAATCATTCAGTGGAATCCAGACATGTACCAGGCTACGTAAAAGCATTCTATGTATCCCAATGCAATATAGACTCGCCCAGAGTGGACGCGACCACGAGTCGGTGCCATCGAGATTTGAAAGCCAACTGTTTAGTCAAAACCTCAAGCAGTTAGCTAATTCGCTAGCGAGTTTGCAAATTGGCTGCCCCAATATTTCTGAGACTTGCTGTAATGTCAGTCTATGGTCAAAATAACATGTATTTCAATGATTTAGCATGAAATAAATGTTATTTTTGCTTTCTGTTTCTCTTTTTTGAAGATGTACTACTTAATATAGTGAATACAGTATTCTTTATTTGTAATTTGTGTCTTTAATTCCCGCAGCACCACAGGAGTTATTTCTAAGGTTTATTTGATTTAGTGACAATGACAGTGAGTTACACTGTAATACCATACTGTACTTCCCCGAGTATAAGCCCAGGGGCCTGAACATGTATAATTGTGAAAATTAGGGGGTTGGCTTATACTCAAGGACCACCTCAGAAAAGAAAATTTTTTGGTGGGTTTACAATTGTAACCATCTTCCCAACCTCGTTCACAGCGCCAGTCTCGGAGAAATATTTATACGTCTTTTTGAGGAAAAAAATGCAAAACAAGTCGTTATTGATTTCCACAACACTTTTTACAATGAAAAAACAAACATATTCATAAAAATACATACATTTTATTACAATACCGTTTACATACCGTCTGAATTTACTGTGCAAAAATGGGTAGGTTCTGTAAGAAAACGGTCGAAGGCAAGATCTTAACATTATCTTCGTTGTGGAATGTTTTCGATCGTATGCAAACTGATGATTCGACCTACACAACTTCCTTTGACCTAACAGGTCACGTCTTTCGTTAACCAATCATATGCTGTGTACAGACAAAGTTTTCCGATTATTGAGGAAGTAATTTTTTCAACGCAATGCAGAAGTGAATTACCGCGATGTTAAAATGCGATCTGTTAACACTCATTTTGACCATAAAAAAGTGATTTTTTCCCTAAAAGCTGTTGATTCACAATTTTTGAAAGGTAAACTGATGATGGAGGAAGTATTTAAACCTTTCACTGCTAACAAGTCATATTGAAGAATAGTTTGCTCGTTCACACCCAATTCACAATAGTCTTAATGGACATGTTCAATGACCAGGTTTCACGACTTGACGATTACTTTTTTGGCGTTTGGGAGCTACTACTCAAAAAAAATATGGATTACTTCAGTATTGCAACATCTGGATTCATCCTGAGTAAATAACAAAATAGAAAAGGTTCACCCACCATGCACTCTGAAATTAATGTGAGTTTTCTCGTAAAAAGATGGAATCAAACTACCATACCAATCATGATTTTTATGCAATGAAATACAAATTTACAGGCATATTTTAATAGATGTTGTCGACATCCGGTAACAACACCCTGGGTCTATACTCGGGAGGTGCTTATGCTCGGGGAAGTATGGTAGTCACCCTACAATTTCGTCCCAGAAATATGTGAGAAGATCAAGATGTAGAACATGTTCCCAATGAACTGCATGTACTTTTAATACGATTAAGCATGTATAATTTTTTTATACTTTATTAATTCAACTTAAGATGAACTGTCATTATTCATTACAGTGTATTATAGATATTATTATTGTATGAAATGAAAGACAGGCGTTTGACGAAAAGGTTGACCTGTGAAAGTTACTGAAAGTTACTTATTGTTTTTATTGTCTTTGTTTGAATAGGCTAATTTGGCAATACAGGAAGGGCGATTGAATATAGCTATGGCAGAATTGGGTGCAGCACAGGCAACTCTAGATGCTAAACAAGCAGAGCTGGATGAAGTACAGGCTAAATTTGATGCTGCAATGTCAGAAAAACAGGTACTAATTAAGAATTAATTTTTCTATGCTTGCTTAGCTCAGCTGTTGACAAAGTCAATCAGAGTTATTCATATTATTGATCGATACAGTTGAATTTCGGACAAGAATCATGTCTCAAATGTTCATACTTCTGACATTTGTTTACCAAGTTACTAGTGAATTTATAAATGTTGGTGTGATTGTATTAGTTTTGAAAAATTGTTGCCCATTCTCTGGCTTGCATTGACTAATTTCTTTAAAACAATACATATATGTAACACACAATACAAAAGGGTCATATAGAATTTATTATTAGTACAATGTATCTGGTAAACAAAAATGTTGTCATATGTTACTTCTGTTCGGGTATTATAAAAAGAAATTCTTGAAAAATTTATGCTAGGATTTTGTCTTTGACTGACATATATAGAGTATTTCAATTGGTAAAATTTTTTATTTATGACTTATTAGTCCCCGTTCGGACGAAGTCCGAAAACGAGGACTTATAATTCAGTCTCCATCCGTGCGTCTGTGCGTTCGTCCAGAGTCATATCTCAGAATCCCTTGGACCGATTCCGTTCATTCTTTGCATGTGCCTAGTACTTTATGTGGGACATATGCACATGCAGTGGTTTAGCAATTCGATTCAAAATGGCCGACTGGCAGCCATCTTGTTTTTTGAAAATGTTGTATTTTGGACATGCTTTGTCAGTTTTCATTTAAACTTTGTACATAGATTATACATGTTAGGATACATGTCCATGACAATTTATTTCACAATTGGATCAAAGATGGCCGACTGGCAGCCATCTTGTTTTTTGAAAATGTTGTATTTTGGACATGCTTTGTCAGTTTTCATTCAAATTTAGTACATAGATCATACATGTTAGGATACATGTCCCCGACCGTCCGTGAGTTCCTGAGTCTGTCCGTCCGTCCGTCATATC